TACGATACATACGACAGCGGATAAATGTTTTGACTTTCTTGTACACTCTTGTTGTGTCTTTGACTGGCTATTTGTATGGTTAAATGACAGCTGTTATTAACAAGCAAATTCAAATGATATGTTACATACATGTTTTATGTAAACTAGGCTATTTGACCTTTGTTAACCATGTGAAAAATCGTTTTATACACACTTAAGAATGACTCGCCTTTCACTTTGATTATCCCATGTAGCATCGTAATGTTTTCTCTAAAAATGTCTTTCCCCCATGTGCTCTCTTTTTCTTACAAATAACCCGGTTGACTTTGTTCTTATGTTGTGCTGTTCACGACGACGAGGGAAAGGAAAAAAGGGGAGAGGTAACGACCTTGACTACCCATAAGGGTCTTGTACGGTCGAAAATGCTGTTACTATCCCTGCTTCGCAGAGATTTAAGCGCTCACAAACATGTCAAACTGCGCCACATTTTGTTGTGCCTATTCCTATTCAGGAGCCTCTAATTAAGCTGTTGTTAGTTGCTGTCTGTCATATTTGTTTTTCGCGTTTATGAATTTGTCATAAATCAGAGCATTGTCAAGTCGAGGCCTTTTATAGCTGACTATACAGAGATGTTCGCAATGTTGAAGGCCGTACGGTGACCCTATATAGATATAAGAAGATGTGGTATGAGTGCCAATAAGACAACTCTACATCCAAGTTACAATTTATAAAAGTAAACCATTAAAGGTCAAGGTACGGCCTTCAACACAAGCATTGGCTCACACCGAACAGCAAGCTATAAAGGGCCCCAAAAAATTACTGGTGTAAAACCATTCAAACGGAAAAACCAACGGTCTAATCTATATAAAAACGAGAAACGAGAAACACGTATGAACTACATAAACAGACGACAACTACTGTAATCAGATTCCTGACTTGGGACAGGTGCAAACATTTGCAGCGGGATTAAACGTTTTAATGGTACCAAACCTTCTCCCTTTTCTGAAACAATAGTATAACATCACAACATAGAAAAACACACTGTATATTATCAATTGGAAGGCTTAACTCAATCAAAAAACGTAAATTAACACACAATGAACGAATAAATTTGACCTGTGACACCTGAATGCAAATACACAGTTAATAAAAAATTACAAGGGATAAATAATTAAAGTCGAAAGTAAATAAACAGGTTTAAACACAGTTAAATTATGGTATCACTGTGAAATTTCAAACAATTTATAGAAAATCATCACTTTTGAAGAAACCTGCGTCATATTATACACAGGTAAATGAAAATAATTTTGTTGTTGAGTATACTTCTTCTGTGTGTATAAAATCTTCTGTTTAGGAATACCAAGAAATTTCTTTAATATCAATAAGACTAATCTAACACTTGGTACATATGGGGTGAATATCAACAATAAAAATATACAATTAGTGTTAGATAAAACTTCCTGTACAGGTCCAAGAACAGCATCTAAGGAAAAATGAAATAATTTTGATGTTCATAGTACGAAGAAGTGAAAATTTGTAGTAATTAAATACCAAATAATCAAAGCTGGTATATAGACAAGATCCATGTTTACATTAAATAACAAAAAAGCTTTACAAATAGTATCAACAGGTCAAATTAAAAAAAAAAAACGATTTGAGAGTAATCGCAGTTACTGACAGCTAGTTAAAAGCCAAAACAATAAATAATAAAAAATCATGCATCAGAGACTAAAATCAACCAAAATACATCCCAGGGATTTAGTATTTTAACGTCATGAACAGTCAAAGAAGACATGACTTGTGCAATGACAAAAATAAATGTATCGACAGGTAGTAGGATAGCTATAGTTGTTTAAATCCGCTTTACTTGGAAGGTTTATTTGGACTCTGTTTGATAGTCGTCTCACTAACAATCACACCACATCTCCTTATTTTATAAATATTATTAACTTATTTTGAAGGCTACTACTATGTTAGTTTTAAGAACATGTCTAGGTAAAATATCTTCTTAAGTTCAAAAATGAAAAAAGGTACAAGCTCGCGACTTATAATTTTTGAATTGTTTGAAAATAACATGCTATAAAACATCATTCTGAGAAAGTATTGTTATCGTAGTATTCTATTCATGGGATGCAAATCCGGCTGCGGCTATGGTGTAGACTATATACTATATATATATATATATATGTCTAAATTGAAAACAACGTTCAAACCTATGATATATATACTTATCTTATAAGAGAGAAGATCGGAGATCTGGATAGGTACATATTGCATACAGGACAGTTGTAATGATATTTTAAGATTAATAATAATGTTGTATAGTAAACAGAAATATTCTTCTGTTACCTACTCTAACATCGGACTCGGACCTCTTTTAAACTGAATTTTACTGTGCGTACTGCTGTGTGTTTGTTTATTTCATATTGGCTAGAGGTATAGGGTAGGGTTGAGAACTCACAAAACATGTTAAACCCCGCCGCATTTTTGCGCCTGATCCAAGTCAGGAACCTCTGGCCATTGTTAGTCTTGTATGTTTTTTTTTAAATTTTGGTTCCTTTATATGTTTCGGAGTTTAGTGTGAAATCCTTTTTTGCTGGACTAGTATACATTATTGTTTAGGGGCCAGCTGAAGCCCGCCTCTGGGTGTGGGATTTCTTCGCTGTGGTGAAGACCCATTGAAGGCCTTGGCCTGTTTTCTGCTCTCCCAAGTCAGGAGCCTCTAGCCTTTGTTAGTCTTGTATTATTTTTAATTTTAGTTTCTTGTGTACAATTTGGAGTTTAGTATGGCGTTCATTATCACTGAACTAGTATATATATTTGTTTAGGGGCCAGCTGAAGGACGCCTCCGGGTGCGGGAATTTCTCGCTGCATTGAAGACCTGTTGGTGGCCTTCTGCTGTTGTCTGTTCTGTGGTCGGGTTGTTGTCTCTTTGACACATTCCCCATTTCCATTCTCAATTTTATCTTGCATTATTGTAAGCTTTCAATATATCACAAGACGCCGTACAACACCCTGCAATTCGCTGTACAATAAACATTAATTGTTTTGGTCCATATTCTTTAGAAAACATCTTTCCGATAAGGAAATTCATTAATTATGGTGTCACAATATCATATTTCAAAACTTTGTCTTGAAAAAGAGATGAATATCTGGCCAGCAGGACGTCGGAGTGCGATCGACATCTAAATTTGCCAGTACCAAGTGCAGGATAAAAACAGGATAAGCCTTTCATAGCTAGTGATTTGTCCAGTAAATAAACAAAATGGATATAACACACAAGACTTGCTGGTGTTGGAAACTGTCTAAGACATTAGTCGAGAAAACTTTTTTTTAAATTTGTGCAAACATTATAGCTTTTGTTTACGTTCATAATTATCATTCGCCGATAGACCTTTTCCATTCACTGCCTCGTACCATTCTCTAATTAGTTTGTTTCTCGTTTCATTCTCAACATTAAACTGTTGTTTCGTTGTTTTCCTCTCATAGTTGATGTGTTTCCACGGTTTTAGTTTGTAACCCGGATTTGTTTTCTCTCAATCGATTTATGACGTTGGTACAGCGGTATACTACTGTTGCCTTTGTTTAAGTAAAATTGTGGTTTAGATGGTCTTTGTAAGTCCGCTTTTTTTCTAATTCTTACTTCTTATCAGATAACTTTTGAAGATAAATGTAATTTTAACCAAATTAGAAAGGCTCATTATCTCAATGTGCTATCCAAAGTCGTTACCATTGTTTTTTTTTATATTTTTCACGTGTTTTGGGGTATTTGATGCAGTTATTGAAGTAAATGAAAATCCATCAATTTCCCTTCATGTTTTTGAGATTCTCTGGGACTCTGACGCCAATAATATGGGGATTGTTTCTGCTTGGAAAATTAACAATGTTATTCGATGCTAAGAGGGAATATGCTAGTGCTGTCAATATAAAAAAGCATGTTCTGCAATAACTTTCTTTGTGAATTTTGTTTTGACATTGAACTTGTAATTTCCTTTGTAGTACAATATCCCAAAAGATAGCCCTGAGTTAGTACATTCTGCATTTGTCCAGAAACAAACCACATGACATATTGTAATGATCATTGAGTGTTTCTTTCTTATTTAAAAGCATTTACATGTTCTACAAATATGAAGAACTAATTCGACTATAAAGAGTTCTACCAGTAAAATCAAATAACATTATTAAGTGTACAACGACATTTCAAACTCCCCCCTCAAAAAATCATTTTTAATATCATTTAATATCATTTAATATTAATATAATGGAATTTTATGCGACTGTCATTAAGTGAGATGTTTAGCTAGCTATAAAACCAGGTTAAATCCGCCATTTTCTATATAAGAAATTGCCTGTACTAAGTCAAGAATATGACAGTTGTTATCTATTCGTTTAATGTGTTTGAGGTTTTGATTTTGCCATTTGAATAGGGTCTTTCCGTTTTGAATTTTCCTCGGAGTTCGGTATTTTTGTTATTAAACCATGAAATAAACGTCCTTTTTACTTTGAATTCATAAATTATTAAAAACCTAAGTTTTCAAACCCACCAAAAAAAGATGACCTTTAATAAATTTCGTTATTATTATTAAAGACGTATCAAAAGAAAAAAAGTGTTCTTTATGTGTCACAACAACATTGGTCATAAATAAAATAATTCCCAAACGGTCAAATAAAGTACAAAGTTAAAAAACATTAAAGAACCAACACTCCAAAAGGTTTTGCAAGATATCGCTAAGGTAATCTATTCCTGGGGTAGAACATCCAAAAATGTCTGTCCTGCCAGATGATGTGGCATGAACCATTAAAATGAATCAATGCAAATTGACTTTGAATTTCAGAGATGAAGGAATAACAATTCAAACCGATTGTAAATATATATTACAACACTTCCTGATAGTACGTGAGTCGAGCATGTGATTGTATTAATAAATATTAGAAAACAAAAACTATACTTAATTGATGTAATACGTAAAGTGTTCCGTTATATAACTTTAAGTGTACAGAATAAGTGTTTAATACACAACCTAAAGTATTTCCTGCTTTAGTTAAATAATTGTGTACACAGTTGTTTCTACAAATTCACTACATTCGTCACATGAGGTATTACGCGTATTTATTCATTGCTTAATTTGATAACTATGAAATTTGATTCGTTCTCAACAAGGTAAGTCAATAACTAAAGATAAGCCTAGCGACGGAATTATGTTTGCATATTAAATACTCCTTTCAAAAGTTTAGGAAATTTGGTCAACTGGGATTAAGGGCGGGAAATTTAATTACAGAAGGCCGATAACAGATAAATGCCTTTATGCCAACGAATCCACCAGGATCTATTGCAATGAATGGTATTTTTTTAAGTGTAGAAGGTTTAGTACGCAGTCCACATATTCATTCATTTGACATGGATATCGCAAAGGCTTATACATTTTGTCCTAGACATGAGTGTTAATAATCCCTGAATGCGTAGTAATATTGACCAACATTTAACATTTAAAATCCTCTTGTGTTTGACATGTGAAAATCACTTTAAATCTGACGGATAGGGTCCCAGAACTCAAGGATGCCGAACCAAATAATTTCAACAATGAAAAGGAAGTTTCTATAAATCAATTAAATATCAGCGTCAATGTAGGAGCTCCTCAATTTCGATAGGAAGATTTCTCAAATCAGTTTAACCAACATGTACTTATATAAGTAAACACAAGTTAGTGTGCAAAAGGGGAACAATTACTTTAAATCTAACTGTAAAAGTCGAATAACTATGGAGAATGACAAACTGAATGATATTCAAAATAGTATAACAAAAATATCAAAGTCCAGGGTGAATTCAAAATAGGAAAGTCAATAAAACCGACAAAAACAAACGTTATCAACCCACAAAACAAGTGAATAACTGTCATATTCCTGACTTGGTACAGGCATTTCCTAGTTTCATAGCTAGCTAAACCTCCCCCTTGTATGACAGTTGCTTATAGTTTGATTATATTGACAAAAATAGATGAACAACACAAACATACATAATAGATTAATGTGACAATAATTGGGAATCCAGCGGCAAAAACTGAGTAAACATGCATCGCAAAAATACAACCCAACTGACTTAAAAATTAAAACGAACATACAAATAAATCTAACAAAGACCCAAATCAAATAAAATCGACAAGCAGCTTTCTTCGGTCAATCCTAATGTTGTGTTATCATTTCACGGGAATAAGTGAAATACTACGGTTTAATACGTTATGTCTTTGAAGGTGTTTAAAGCTAAGACGTATTAGAAATGTTGAATTTGAATGATGCCAGCTGAAGCCAGTCTCCGGGTATGGCATTCTGTCACTGCGTTGAAGACCCATGTTTGGACTTGGGCTGTTATCTGTTTTTTGGTCGGGCTGTTGTCTCTTAGACACATTCCCCGTTTCCAAACTCTATTTTATTCATTTTATATATTTAACCTTTGATTCAAAACCTGTGATCCAACGGAGTGGAAGTTAACTGGTTTTCATCTGTCCGTAACACGTTTCGCTTGCATTTTTCTTAGTAACAAGAATTCAGACCTTTCGATATTTGCATTGGTACAAACCATCATATTTGCATGCTTGACCATGTGACTATTTTCGAAACCATCACTTATCTATCTCTTGTTTGTCGAATAAAATTATATGTTTCACATTGATAGACTTATACGAATTTTCCTGGCAGCTTGAAATCAGAGCTTTTTGATATATGATAACACTTTTCTATGTGAAGCTATATTGTATGTTTTTTTTTCGATTGTTTTTGATAACTATTAACTTGCAAGATTGTAAATGTCTTTTTTTAATTTCAGACACTAATGCAAGTCGCCTTCAATGGACGGCCTGAGCATGGTATCCGACGAGAGTGAATACAACTTAGATGAGGACAAATTTAAAGAGATAGAAGAAGACAATGCCGATAGCCAGCAAGATAAATACATTCCTACATTTCACTACGATAACGCTTTTATCCAATTCCAGGAAGCTCAAACTTCTATACATTTTAAAGGATGTCAAGAATCGGACTCTTTACTTGAAGGTACACGCTTGACAGTTTCTCTTCGTAAATCGTGTAGAAAATGCTGCTGCATAAAGAGTTGTGTTATTTTATGACTAAACAAACATTTTGATAGTTTATTTTTACATCATTGTTTCATTTTAATACTTCAAGTTTAATATAATAAATCATATAATTTTAAAAGCAATTTTTCATTAGCAACTTTTGTGTAAATATTAAATTTCATTTGTAAGATTGGATCTTAATCTGATTTTCCAAGTATGCTTATAAAAGCATGATCAAATTTAAATCTCAATGCAGTTTATGTGTTGTATTTCCCTTTATTTTACAGATAGTTACAACACCATGTACATGGTTTACTTTTACAAATTGTGACTTGGATGGAGAGTTGTCTCATTGTCACTCATACCACATCTTCTTATATCTATATATGATTTTATGGTTCGCCTAACAGTCTAGTTAATCTCATTAAGCAGATTAGTACGTGTTATAGCGAATTAGACATATTTAAGCTAGTCAATGATCCGATAGAATGATCTACCTAGCACAACATAGTCCGCCAAATCTTTCACTCTTTAATATGTAAAACAAAATAGTCGCAAATATGCATAATGAGTTTCTTTTATATCTCCTTCCCTATTTCACTCAACAAAGTTGCTAACCAAATTTAAAATTTAAATCCCTTCGTTTAATATGCCCCGAGATGCATAAATGTGAAGAAAAAGTGTAAAATATGTCAGATATAAGGCCATAGCTGTTGATTTTTTTTGTCTGCTCACCTAAAAAAAGTTTTAACAAATGTTTGAAAATGAAGAAATGTGAAGAAAACTTTTTTAAATGATATATGTTTCTATCATACATTATCACGTGATTGATTGATTGCTGGTTGCTTTACGTCCAGTGGCAAATATTTCATGTATTTTCATGACGAGAACAAATTAACAATAACTATAATAGGTAGGTCCTGTAATAGAGGCCGTCCGAGATGAAAGTAGGGGAAATTTATACTGCTACTATAAAATGAGGGTAAAATGGAAAGGAACTGAAATTTTGCAAACGGGGCACCGACGGACCCTTCAAAGAGTTGTTACAAGGGTTCGTTAAGTGACCGAACGTGGATGCGTACTTGTACATACCGTACAGCCAAACGGACACCCAACTTTGACAAGGGTTTTACTGTAGGTCGGAAGAAGTCGTGTAGTGACCATATTTCTATTCCCAAGTCACCCTTGGGATACATTATCACGTGACAATGTGCAGTTCCCTAGATAACATTATGGAACAAGAACTATATCTATGTCATTAAACGGTTTATGGCTCGCCTTTGCGTCGGTCCGTCCCGTCCCATACTAGATTGATTGATTCTGTGTTGCTTAACCTCCAGTGTCAATTATTTTATGCATATTCATGACGAAAAGAAATTAATTATGAAAACAATAGGAAGGTCTTTTAAAAAAGGCCATTCGTAATGAAGGTAAGTGAATCTTAGACTGCTATTGGAAAATGAGGGTATATTCGATAGAGACAGCCATTTTTCCATGCATCAGGCCACCTACGGAACCTCAAAGAGTTGTTGCAATGGGTATTAACGTGGAAAGAGAATGCCGTATATAGATTAATTGACGTTCGGAAGACTTTATTGACCATATATCTGTTCCCCAGTCACCCGTACTAGACAAAAAAGTTTTGTTTTAAGAGGTCTACAATGGAGTCATTATCACAACATTTCAAACTTATTTCACACCGCGTAGAACGCCACATGCAGTGATGGATAATTATTGTTTATTTATAATAAATTTTCTGAATTTGGACCCTTTTTACCCAGAACTAGCATCGAAGTCTCAGAAATTGTGACCACTGCTTTTGTTTTGGGAATGTTATGACTGATCGATACATTCCGTGCAATATATTATTTGGTACTAACAACTCTTAAGAAAAATATAAGTTACCTTTTACTTGTTTTTATTTCCTCGTAGCCCTCACCCATGCCATAAATAGCCAACATACTATGTGGCGTTCTACACGCTAAAACACGTTCATCATAATGCGAACTTGTAAAAAAATTTGCACAATTAGGTATTTTGATTTCGTGTTTCTTTGAACATGATAATGCCATAGCGGGGGCTGCCCATATATTCATGTTTTACTTCCTGAAAGATTGATTGATTTCATGTGTGATTTGGAATATTCGAATTAACGAAAAAGAATCTGTTTTTATTTTAGGATTTTAGTTGAGAGAAACTTTAAGTGCATTTAGAAGCAAAAGCAAAAACAAAAGACATGCAATATTGTATCATGTTCACATCGTGAGAACCTTTGCAAAACTCAGCAACGCCAGAAAAGTAAAATAACAAAACGGAAGATCCCTTATCAAATAGCAAAATCAAAAGCCCAATCACATCAAACGAATAGAAACATCTTTCGTATTCCTGAATTGGGACAGTCATTTCCTTATGTAGAAAATGGTGGATTAAATCCGGTAATATAGCTAGCTAAACTTCTCACTTGTATGACAGTCGAATAGTATTCCATTATATAGACAACAATGTGTTAAAGACAAAGGTAGGAATGACAAAATCATACAAGCAGTTACTTACGGTATGATGTAACGCGAATAAATCATTTGATTAAGATGAAATATGCCTCAGTAATAAATGTTTATGTTTTATTTACCATACACGTCATTATCTATTCAAGATCAGCTATTCAAACTTTGGTAAAGAAACACATTTATTAAATCTGAGCTCAAGATGAACTCCATAAATGTTGTGCATATTTGAACAGATACATATACTTCTTTGATGATCCCATAGATAGATAATCAGTCACCAGATTCCATTATTTAATTTCACGAACTATAGACGAGTTTCAAAGGAGAAATTTGAATAAATGTGAAAAATTTATCTGTGAATATCTTGTCTGTAATCAAATATTCCTTTTTGGCATTAAGCTCTCGTGTTTTTTTTTGTATTTATACATCGTTTAATTTAGGGCTTAAGCGTTCTGGATGACGGTAAAGCCAGAAAAACGCTTGGAACGAATGAGATTAAAAAAGTCTTGTAACCATTTGAAGTTGTTTTATCGACTAAACAACACACCGAACAAATACGGACAATTCAATTGTTGAAAGACACGGGACAAACAAGAGTCAACAAAACACTACAATTAAGATTGAGCGAACTAAGCGACTATCTCAAGATAGGAAGGGTCAGCATATCCAGCTTAACTGATGAAGAAAACTTGTAACATCAAACATGTCAAATGATCTTTAATGAAAGTTGTTATAAACGTAGATATCCGACCGTACAAAATAAACAACATTTTAGTAGAAAATAACAAGATTTATTAATATTTTATCCTGCATGTATCATACAGACGTAACAAAGTTCACATGAAATGCTAAACACACGGCATATATGTAGGACTCAAATCTATGGCGGGTTCCAGATCTATGGCAGATTCCTAATCTATGGTAAATATGACATCATGCCATCCCAAATCTATGGCAGTTTTTTAAGAATCCTAATCTATGGCAACTTTTTAGTTTCCTAATCTATGGCGGATTTCTAGATTTCAAATCTATGACAGATTTTCTGCAAAGGTCGGATCAGTCAGTACATATCTGACCAATGATTTCGAGGTCGAAATGTCCAAAGGTAGAAAAAGAGCTGCTCTTAAGTAAAAACCAGTATAAGAAAAACAAATTAGGACTATTACTAGGAAGCATATCCATAACCGTTTGTAAAATGAACACAGACTTTAGGGTTGAAAGCATGTGCCCAGGAAGAATAATTATTTCCTACTCTGTGCATAGTACCTGTTTGACCCTTTATTTAACCAAATCCATTAACAACACACAAGCAGTTTGAATTTTTAACTAATATCTATTTGAGCGTTGAATAATATAAATCTTGTTGGACTGATGACGGTTTAAGTCCTTTAATGAACAATGACTCGCCTCTAACACGTGTCTCTCTAAACAAATCCTTATTTTTCCAACAGTACAGTTATTCGACATATTTATAGCGGAAAACGATATTAATATCTATTAGAAGTCTATGTCATATTTATTTTTTCTTAATCTCAAGAAAGATTATTTGCTACAATAGTACAGGTAGTCACTGTTATATAGCTGACAAAATACTTTATGTTGTGTAACTTCTTACAGAAAATTAAAGAGATCATAGGAATACAAAAAAAAATAGTATAAAAACACAAAACAGCAAACTAAAATGCACGGGAAAAGCTCGTACAATTAAGGGTGATGCCAACACCAGCAACACGAGAAGAAGAAAACAAGGGTAGAAACAAACACAATTCTGAATTATAATCTATTTATTAATTTGGATCCTTGCAAACTTGTTTTTCGATCTTTTTCTTTTCCTTTTGTATAACAAAACCGTCGTCGTCAGCGGCAGCTTCGACGTTACATGACGTTATTCAATTGTGACGGAAAATTACGTAGTATCCAAATCTGCCATAGATTTGGAGAAAACAAAATACTGCCATAGATTTGTGATTTCTTTGGCGTTTGTGACATCATATTTACCATAGATTAGGAATTTGCAGAAATTTGCCATAGATCTGGAACCTACCATAGATTTGAGTCCTACATATATTCCGACATTTCACACCATTACAGCTCTTCTGTTCATTTGTCCCATACACACATCTCTCTCCTGTCACGTCACTATCACACAACGTCAAAAAAACAACATTAACACTGTATATTGTATAATCACGGAAATGTAAACAAAGTCATAGTCACAACAAAAGTTGACACTAATATTCAGTATAACTATTTATAATATATACAAGATAAGAACCAAACAAATTAAGTGTGTGCCAAAAATGAAGGTCAACACCTGAACGAAACACATTGATAAAAGTAATACGAATACGAACCACTTGTCTTATACCGGTTATTATTACTATCATTTATCATCTGAAGATGGAGGATGCCGAAAACGGTAAAATAATGTTTTCCTTGTATTTTATTTTATGTTCTATCCTGCTTGTCTAAATCAAATATCCATTTCAATTCGATATAAATACATTTGTTGTAAAATTTGTGAAAAACAATGCCCGCAGCTGCCAATAAGCGATGCATAAAAAATTAAATAGATGTGAACTAGACATCGTCGAGATGGGTAGCAGTTTTTTACGTTATTACATAGTCTCGTTATATGCTGAGAGGGATTTTATTCTATGTTTTTTAGTTAAAGTGTTATATT